GAGTTCCTGGTTTAAAAGAGCCGGAGGTGGCTTTATAATGAAATACAGCATATAATTGGCGCTGTTTTGACCCGGGAACCAGACGACTCTTCAGAAGACGGAGCCCACTTTCTTAAACAAGTGGTCCGGACGAGACAGCGCCGTTTGGGACCAGATTTGGCTGAAAAAACCGACATCCAGTTCTGATTTCGACTGGTATCGTTGCCTTGCCTGAGTTGGAGAAGCTGTGCGGTCCCACACATCAACTGTGCCCGGGCAGAAACTAAAGGTAAGCGGAACCTATTTACACATAAACTCCGCACCATTGAATTTCTCAAAATCAAAGTTGATGTGTGGAACGGCAGCCTCCGACGTTCCAAATTGGATCCAAAAACAGTAAGGTTAAATGAAAACACATATATTACTCTCTGTGTTTAACTGCTGTGCTGGTTTGTGTTCATGTCACACGTACAGTTGACTGGAAACACATAGTCTCACTGTTTTGAGGGAAAGCATCCACCGTTGATTACAGAATTTGAGACCAATAAAAACACGCAAAACTCGCATTTATAGGCGAGTTTCTGCTGATTCACATCATTTGCCTCTAATATTGACCCAGTTCTTTTTCATTTTGCTCCCCCTGAAAAGATCAGGCGAGTGAGACCTCTCGCCTGGAATATACCATCTTTGATAAATCCCACACATACTGTAATCGGTGTAGGGACAGAAATGAATGAAATGTTGGGATGGGTAACTGTACAACAGGCTAATTAAAACGTTTTCCACAAGCGTATCACTGTAAGCAACAGGCTTATATGTGAAAATTCCTTGTGGAGGTAAACGTGCCGTGTACCGAAGTGATTTATCGGGGCTGGGCATAGATTACTGGGAACGGTATTAGTTTAGGGTGATTGTTTGTCCTGTTGAGATAAAACGTGATATCTGATTTGGGAATCAACCCCCAGAAAAACTGCGTGGAAAAAATTAGTTTTTCTGTAGAAGCTTCAGTTTTTAAATCAGTGTCAATGGTCCAAGAGACTCTCATAAAGGACAGCATCACGTGTGGCATTTTTATTTTTTCATGATGGCTGACTGTGATGTTATTCAGGTTTGGAAAGACTGTAAAGCAGGCACACTAGGTGCCATCTTGTACAAATTGTTAAACAAATGGCTTGGCACATTGCCTCCAAGCCGACAAGCCATGACACTGAAAAAAGTAATTTTGTCCACTGGACCGGTCAGATGTGTGACCTTGGTTTCTTTGGCGCCTATGACAGAGCTCCCCCAGCAGAGGGAGCTGTAGGACTGTTCCTTAAACACGACAGTGTGAAGACTAACAACGCACGTCGTGCTCACAACTCAGCTGGTTTCTTACAAAAACACAAGACAGAGGCAAAACTTCAAAAGTCTGAAGCGTTTCTAAAAAACTGCGGCAATTTTCTTGCTGAATTTGAGAAACTGCAGAAAGCAGCAACAGCCGTTGTTGACACAGTCAGTAAGCAGGATTCCGGTGACACAAACACGCATGCGCCCTCTGCTCCTCCTCTCTATGTGGAGGAAGTCAGCAAACCAACAGACTTTCAAAATAATGTTCAACATCAGATGCCATTGCGTGATTCAACGGAGACTGAAAACAGTGGCACATCATTAGTTGTCATCAAAGGCAATATTTTAAAAACAGCAAATTTTCCAGGAAAAGAGGAAGACTGGACTAGGGCACAAGAGTATCTCGATCTTATAACGGCAGAGTGTCTTGTTTTGACGGGCCCGGCACTTCCGGTAAAAATAGTGCACTGAGCTCAGCCAGCGTCAAAGATTTGCTAAAGGCATGTAATCCCTCTGCTGAATCTCAGGCTTCAAGTATTTGTAATGCTCCTACTAAAAAGCACAAGACAAAGAGTGTTCACAAGGCAGTGCAGGCTGCAAACACCAGTGCTAGTGATAGTAGTGACGAATGGGACACGGACCATGCATGTACTGCCGCTTTAAGACACAGAGGTAGAAGAGCACATAACATACACAGCTGCGTCGAGACAACATCACATCAAATGCCGCTCTTGCAAACAGAAACAGCCACTGGTGGAGTTACAGTGACGTATTCTCCATTCACTCTTCAAGATATGTCAGCTATAAAAGGGCAGCTCCCAGCGTTAGATGAGGGGGGGGCACCCTGGATCAGAGCATTTCTCACTGCATGTTCTGGCTCATTGCCAGCTCTCGGTGATTTTAGGAGAATCTTCACGGCATGTAGCTCCTTAACTATGCTCCAAGAAATTGAGATTTTAGCTAACACAGACAGGGACAGTGATGCACTTCCACTTTATGTTGTCATACAAGATCTTTGGCCAGTGATTAGGATGAAATATCCACTGCAGGCTCCGACTGGCAAGCTCTCACACATGCCAGTGCAAAAGGGTGAGACAGGCAAGCAGTATTTGCTGAGAGTGAGGGAACTTTGGCATAATTACAGCGGTGAAGACCCCAGAGAGGTCCGCAGTGTTGAAGTACTATTTCGTAGTGCGGTCGAGGCCTCTCTTTCTGACAGAATACAACAGTGGCTTAGACAAGTGATAGGCCTCCGAGCCCTACCGTTCGATCAATGGTCTGCCCACATTGTGCAGTATGTGGACAATGACAAAGATGACAGAGAAAAGGAGGAACGTGAAATTGCAAACTTACAAGCACAGCTCACTAAAGTACATTCTCCTTTTCTAATCGTTTCTTTTCTTTTTTACGCTGTGAGAGAAAATCTAAGGTAAGCCACTGTAAAAAGGAAAACACCAGCATTCATTCAAGATCAATGTGTCAACACTGACCAATTTTTTACGCTTGTTCCTCTCAGTTTTCTCCTTACGTCGTTCCTCCTCTGCTATAAGTTCTTTTGCATGTTTCTCAGCCTCCTAAAAGAAAATTTGTGTGGAGATTTGAAATATTTAAAGAACACACAGAAAATCCACAAGTTACTTTACTAAACGTAACAGTCCTGTTTTGACAATTAACATAGTCCTGTTCTTAAAATCTTTGCTGCTCTTAAATGTGATCTTAAAATTTATTCCCCAAATTACATGTGTCAGTTAAACAGTTATATCATATTACAAACCAGGGATAAATAAATGTGACCATTTGTTTCATTGTCACACACAAAAGACTTTTTACCTCATCAGTAAGTTGTCTTATTCGTGGATGTGGTTGTAAAGGCCTATGAGCAGTACTGAGTGGATAAAAATCATCATCATCATCATCATCTGAATATATGATGTCACTGTGCAGGTTTGCACTCAAGCTCCTGAAGAAATCTAAACCTACAGACAAATACAAAAAAAAAGAATCATTCTAGGGCTCTGCTTTCAAGCACCTCAAAATCTTAAAAAGAACAGGGGAGATTTCCCAAAGGGCTGATTGTGATGGAGCAGAGTGATAAAACATCTCTCCAATAGTTCTGTATGCAGTACTAATTTCCAAAAGTAATCTGCAGTCTTAATCTCCAATTCTTTTCCACCATTAAATTGAAATAACCTTTAACCAGTGCAGAAAAAGGCCTTACCCAAGACATCCAGGAAGGAGCCCCCATGACGTCCATTTATTAAATCAACAATTGATTCCTAAGAACAAGAAAAAAGAAAAATGCTTTCATCAACAGTTGACTGAATACCCTCCACAGCTCTCTTTAGGGAGGAAGACTGAAAAGCTCAGAGAAAGTTAGCAAGTGGACTCCTGAATTGAGAGTTGACAGTCAACTAGGAAATTATGAAAATGGATTGTTTTTACTATCGTATGTCATTTTACTAAGCCAAAAAGTAAGGGATAAACGAAGCGATTTCCATCATTATCATGATAATTGTTTTATGCCACTGTTTTATCACTGAATTTGACTTTAGTTTTACATTGCTCTCCAAATACACACGCACCAATGTGCAACCACTTAAGCTCACAGCTCACATTGTCACTGGAAAAGTGTGTACTGCACAGGACTCATAACAGAGAAGACATTGATCATCCTTTAACACAAGCATTGTTGAACAAACTGCCTTCAGCTCTGTGGGCCACAGGTCCCACCGACATGGGATTGATCAGAACTGACCCGGTCAAAATCTTTTTGCGTGAGGGGGCTTTGCCTGTGTACAGAGCCCACTATCCACTCACAGAACAGCAAGTGAGTGGA